TTAAATAGAGTCCTTCAAAATTGCAACCAAATTGTACTTTTCAATGCAGCAGAAAAACAAAAATGACAGTAGACAAATGTTTTAAATAAACATTCATTATATTGAAATGAAAATGGTTAGAAATAATTATTTCAATATAGTTAAGTAAATATAACGAGGCAGCCAGTTTGATGTAATATTTGAGAAACATGGCTAGAAACTGGGAGACTCAGAATTCTAGTTCTGCCTTAGGCTTGAAGCCAGATGGGTGCCCTTAGGCTAGTCACTGTCTTTCAGATCTAAGAAGCAGATAATAGCAAACCAATTCCAAAATCTTGCCAGAAAACTCAGAGACTGGTCCAGGCAGTCACCAGAAGTCAAAAATGACTCAAAGACACACACACACACACACACACACACACACACACACACACGATTTTGGTCTGGCCCTTTCTACTTTTGGAATTTAGTTCTTGGCCTACTATCCAAAGACCAAGCATTGCTATCTGCTCTCCAAAAGTTGGAAATTCTTGGTTGACTACTACAGAATATTACCGTACTACCATTATGGAGACTGGATATTGACCTAATCCAAAGGTGATTCTACATCACAAGGAGTCATTAAATAACTTCAAAAAGATGCAAAGACAGATCTTCTTTTGAATATGCATGCATATACTGTTAGTAGGCAGAATCTTTGGTTTTATTGTACAAACTGCAGGTTTAAAGACTTTGAATCACAAATTTGAATTCTATTGACTCGTCAAATTGCAAATTGAAATTGTATGATTCACTCGCATTATAAGTTTTAATAAGAGGCTGCTATTACTAATTTCAAGCTAACCACAGTTATGCCTTATTCAGAGAAATCTTAGTTAAAAAGAATTCCTCTTTGGACATAGCAATATACTCAGAATCAAAAGCATATGTTTTTGATCCTTTGATAGCCAACCAGAGAATAAAGAATTGCTGTACTGTGCTGTCCATCATCTCAGCCTGAGCCAACTGTTTCGCCATTGCCCTTCTTGTAATACTATTTCTACAGTGCTTTCCTACTTTTATTGCATTTCCTCATCCCCTAGTATTTTGGAAGTATTCTCATCAACTGGAGGCAACTTTAACTTCAATGCATTATCACATTGAACTAAGTCCCACTGTAGGAATCGATGGCACAGAATCCATTTAGCATACTAGTAAATGATGTCAGTATAGTATTACTTTGTGAAAGATTGGTTGTATGTGTAAAATGCACATACGTACACACACACACTAACACTCAGAACTTTATACTATGCAAATAAATAGCAGATTTATTTACTGGCTACAAAGTCTAGGCAGTTGTTGGCTGAGCACTTTTTTTAAAAAAAGAAAACTTCTCTTTTCCTTGTAGTTGAAACATTTGAGATATTTATTTAGTAGACTTTTATGGCTACCAACTCACAAATTTCAATTCTGGGTGGCTAACATAGGGTTAAAACAAACAAAAAACAAACAAAAGATAGGACCATCACCATCTCAGGCAGTATGCTGTTCCAAAGGACAGATGCCATGACAAAGAAGGCATAGAGTGAATCCTGCCAGATAACATACTTAACAAAAGCTCATGCTCATGCTCATCCCATTGGATCTGAGTCAGGCTGAAACAATCAGAAATATGCAGTCATGCAAGCAATTCAGGTTTGTGCCATGAAGGTAGTAACCAGAAGCTTGAATAGCACCCAGAAACCTACTGAGACTTGGTGCACCTTGCAAAATAAGGATTTTATTGTGGTGCTTACTGAAGTACAACTAAAATTATTATTCCTGGATGTTCTTCTCATCTACCTAACCTCTCCTAAATATTCCTCCTCCCCAGTCAGAAGTGACATGGAACCTATAGAGCAGTTGTCAAGAAGGCTTTTGCATACCTCCACCTAAATTATATTACAGATGCAAGATATTTCCATGGGATAGGTGATACCTTACATTATCATCAGTTGGTAGCAGGGCATCATACTATTATATTCCACATTGTTTCAGAGTCACAACTGAAGAGAAAGTGAGGGGTTTTTTCTGCTATTTGCATGAGTTCTGCTATTTGCATTTTAACCACAGTGAGCAAATTTAAGAATGTATTTTCAGATAGTCAGCCAACAAAGCATAGCAGGTTCTTCAGCGAAGTGGAGAAATCTCAACGGGATTGGGAATAATGCTGGGATAGGACTGTGTAGGCAGATATTTTAAAAGGAGAGCAGCTGAACCTGTGGTGGGCATCTCAAAGAGGATAATTAAAGTGCAGGGTTTTTTGTTTTGTTGTTTCTCCGTTTTTACTATGATTGTTTTATTTATTGGTTTTATTGTTGTGAGCTGCCAAGATTTCTGAGAAGTCAACAAAGATCAGCAAAGTAAAAGAAAACCTTACTGAATATTTATAAGATTTCAAAGTATGTTTAAATGGAATGAAATGGAGATTATGGAGTGTTTTCTAAAGCTTTGAATAGCCATAGCAATTTGCTAACTTTGAACAAAAAACAAACCCAATTTGTATCAAATAAATACCAAAGTATTTAACAATTAACATTTGCCCCTACGCATCGGTCAAGCTTCTTGTCATGATTATATTATAGGTGTGTAATTAGTTTTAGAGTAATATAAATTCATTTATTAAAAGGTCAGAATTTTGTGATAGTTGGTTAAGGATATTAGACAGACAATAAAATTATTATTGTTTCACATTTATTGGGTAGTAAATTTTATTAAGATTAAGTAATCATGCATAGGATGTTTACCAAACCATACCAAAATTACTCCATCTCTATTCTGTTATGAATTACCTTGTCTGTTTGAGGAAAAAAATGCCAGAAAGAGTATCCAGGGAGTCAACTGTTTGTTTATTGACATACATCTTATGCAGGTCATGACCGTTGGTGAAAAGAAAACTGAAGATTAATGGAATACATGAGAAAATGCTACATGAGTCTAAATATATGTAGGTATTTAGCTTTCCACAGTGCAGGGATATTTTTGTATTACTAGTTACCAATGTGGCATATAAAAATATGAGTATTGTGCTAATACAAGCACCATATTGTTATTGGTAATATTTCTTCCTATTTTATGTGATCAAAGGAAGGAAGGAAGTGCCTTGATGAATCTTACTAAGCATTCTATCCTGACTGGTATCCTTTCAAGGATTAGTCAAATAGTTCTGGGATACAAATAAATGGAACACAGGAGAACAGCTCTATCATCACTGTTATAATTTGTTTTATTTTTATCTTTTATCTGTGCCACCCCAAGTTTGTTTGGTACACAGGCATCTATGTAAATCTGTTTAATATAAAAATAAATACATTGGTTTTTCCAGTACCTGAAATAAACAAGGCAAAGGTACTCTCATGCAATTTCATACTCATTTAAAATTTTAATCATACAATATAGAATGTATAATGCGTTGAATCAGGTCAAGCCATTTCAGGTCAGACATTAGAAAACATCAAAGCCACAGGTAGTAGAGGAGAGAATTCTGTTCAAATGAATGGGGAAAATCAACATTGCTGGAGATCATATTTGTTATGAATGGTTGAAATGGTAGTACTGTAGAATACTGGGGAAGAATCACTGGTAGGATTCAAAATTTTTTACTACCAGTTCTGTGGGCATGGCTTGGTGGGCATGGCAGGAGAAGGATACTGTAAAATCTCCAGTCAGAGGTGGTTTTTGCTGGTTCTCTGAACTACTCAAAATTTCCGTTACTGGTTCTCCAGAACTGATCAGAACCTGCCGAATACCACCTCTGGGAAGAATAAACAGGAAAGGAAGAGGGGTTTAAATGATTTTATGAAGATGCATTATATAGACTGTAAAGACAAACATGGGAGACTTGAATGAGAAGAAATACTGTAGGCAATATATTAAAAGTAGAAGAATGAATGAGGACATCAATATTTTTGTGGGAGAGAATAACCATTTGTTATCCAATTAAATGTAGACTATTGTCACTATCACTTAATTGATAGAGATTGTTTTTCCATTATTCATTGCTAATTATATGTATTTATTGTGTTAAATGTTTTTGAACTATAAGATTAATAAATGTGAACAGTGTTTATTTCTCTAAAGAACAATTCCTAAGTGCAAATTTCTTCACCTATAAAAGACCTGTGTGTATTATAGTTGCCTCTATGATAGATAGTTGAAAGCAGAACAAAATATTAGCTAACAAAATATGAATCAAGTTGTTATATTAGGTTGGGTTATCCTTGTTTCCTAGGCTTTAAGAGAAATTTAAAGGGAACTAGACATCTATTGATAGAATTTCCTGAACTGCTTTCTTCTTACATATTTTTTATCATAAATAAAGGAAAAAATAAGAAACACTTCCAGTTTCAAAAATTGTTATCTTCTGACTTTTCTTTTCACCCTTTCTATGTGTGCCTTCATCTTTTTTACTGGCTATGGAACTGAAGTAAATTTAATGTGGATACAAACTCCTGCAAATTCCCATAGTCAACAGTGCAGGAGTGTGAGAAATGAAGATCAAAACCAGATATGTTAAATATGGCTGAGTTACCATATTGGAATATTCTGACATTATATTTTTAGAGGCCATATTAGAGGAGCATTGAGACCTCCCCTTTACTGACCTATCATTCTTATTTCATTTTTTTCCCCAAGCTTCCCAAACAAAAGGAAACAACACAGACAAATTGGCCAGTCTTTTTCAGTTTATTTGTTTTCCCTCAGGGTTAAGACAAAAAAAAAGTATCTACTGCAGTTTGCTACTATTATTTTAATTCTGTTTAATAAATACTCAGAATACAACTTGGCCAGCATTGGATGCTTTAAGTTTCACTGGCTGAAGTGGGAAAGTTAAGTGCAAACTTCAGCTCTCCCACTGAAAGTTGAGTCATACCGTAAGTTATATATGGCTACTGAGGGGTAAACCAGACTATGTTCAGTGGGATATTTCCCCAGTGAATGAGTTTAGAATCGTAACCATAACATTTTAAGATGTTTATATTTTGTTTTGTTTTTTTCAGCTACAATTTTTTGCTGAATTGTAAAGCTACATTTAGTGATGGAAACCAGTTGGACTGTACAGCTGTTGCCTCTCTTAGTTCTGACATTGGTGAGTCTGTTCCCTCTACATGCACATCTGCAGGTATTTATATAATAGTATGTATACATGAAAGGGAATTGCTCTTAAATTTTGCTTGCTGTTACCTAGTTAGCTGGATGGATAGTTTATTGATTGATTAGTGGTGGTGCAGTGGTTTGAATGCAGGAGTTTGATTCTATTTTATCCTCACCGGCTAAAGGTTGACTCGGCCTTCCATTTTTCTGAGGTTGGTAAAATGAAGATTCAGATTGTTGGGGGCAATATGCTGATTCTGTAAACCACTTAGAGAAAACTGTAAAGCACTGTGAAGCGATATATAAGTCTAGGTGCTATTGCTAGTATTATGATATCAAATATAAAACAAAAATAAAATATGGGATAATTCCAGGATAAAATAGATGCAAGAAAAATACAGTAATAAAATACATATGTGTAAAATACAAAGTAGCAACGCTCCGGTACATACATTATTTTTGCAGGGTACTCCAAGTTGTTCAATATAATGGATCCTTTGATCAACCTCCTTAGCTACAAACCTAGCAGGAGTAACTGGAAAGATCCAAGGTAGCAATAGCAATAGCACTTAAACTTATATACTGCTTCGCAGTTCTCACAGCCCTCTCTAAATGGTTTACAGAGTCAGCATATTAGCCCCAACAATCTGGGTCCTTATTTTAATGACCTCAGAAGGATGGAAGTCTGAGTCAACCTTGAGCCTGGTGGGATCACTCTCCTGGCAGTGAGCTAGCCTGTAATACCGCGTTCTAACCACTGTGCCTCCATGGCATCCAGCCTTATGATCAGAATATCAATCACAGCACAAATTATGTTGTATATAGCACATATCCTTTGTGTGGATAGTCTCAGTTTTGGCTTCTTGAGGAAGGTTTCTGCTTGAAAGAAGTCAATTTTGGATATCTACTTGTTATCAGCCTTTCTCAACCTGGTGCCTTCCAGGTGGGATATCACTCGAAGAGTTCTGGATGAGAATTTTGAGAGTTGTAGTTTAGCATATCTTAGAATTCTAATTTAATGAGATATATTATACTGTAGATCAACAACATCTGTAACACTAACAAACATTGCTCTTAGAGTTGTTCCTGAGAGCAAATATGAAATAATGTTATCATTCCAAGATCCCAATTATATTACATGACATTTGACACACATTATGATGATGACATGTATATTTCCACTTGCTTGTCTTACATTCCAACAGCCCCATTCCATAGACATCATGCTATTTTATGTTTTAACCATGTTTTATTAAATAATACCCAGTTGACTGGGTTTCCATGACATACTGTGCCATTAATTATGGGTTACAAACCACAATGGCTGCTTTGACATTTCATGCTAAGCTAAAAACAAATAAATTATACTATGGCTTTTGATTTCTGATTTTTTTTCAGTACAGGTAGTTCTCACTTAATAATGGCAATTGAGACTAGAATTTCCATCTTTAAGCAATGTTGTTATAAAGTTGGTCATGTGACCAAACTATTTAGCAATAGCATTTCCAGCAATCCCCAGTTACCATTGTTAAGCAAGAATCCTGTGGATCATTAAGTGAGGACCTCACATAATCATAAATTTTGACTTTGGCCAGTTTCCCTGTTGACTTGGCTTTTCAGAAGCCAGCAGAGATTATTGTAAATCACAATTATATGACCACGTGTGCTGGACAATCTGTGGCATTTGAACTCCCTGGGTCTTTTCTTACAACCAATAGCAGTTTGTTTGGCAGAAGAAAAGATGGAAACAAATGCAATAGAAAACCTTTGCAGGAAATAACAGCAGTTTTTCCTTTCAATTGTCTCAACTGAAAGGAATTTAGGATTCTTAGTTGGAAACTGCAACTCCATGTGTCAAAGCTAAGATAAGCAGACACATATAAATAATACAAATCACAATATTTTTTACTAAAATTTTATTGATAAATAATATGATTTATGTTAAATTTGCAAAATACAAAGTGATGTCAACATTCCTTGCTAGAAGATAGTCAAACTCAAGATATTTATTGTTCATTGGAACACTTTTCTAGTCAGAATGTTAGCCAAGACAAGAACTGGAGTTTTATAGTTTATGAAAAAGGTATCATAACCTCCTTTCTGAAACTTGTAAGGCTTTTGCAGGGGTAACAGAAAATCACTCTAAATGGCAAAATAACAATAAAAGAATATTGGTGCAGAGGGGACCTTAAAGCAGCAGTGGTGTCTGCAGGATGATTTACAGGTCAAGTAGAACTCAGAAGTGAAAAAAACAAATTGTTACTTTATTACAAAAGGTTGCAATTATTAAATATGCTACAATAAGTGGACAGAGTTCTGGGTAAAGAGTGTTAGGGATCTAGACTATGTGAGGTGTGGCCTTCTTACTGAGACCACTTCATGACAATCTGTAAGCAGCCTCCCTTTTCATGATCCTTCAGAAGGATCGTGGAATTTTGCCTTCTCAAAATTGCAGTTTGGAGAAAGAGGCTTTTGCAGCCCTGTGAAAACAGGCTCCATTCTCACAATCCTTTGGAAGCCTCATTTAATGCTAACATAGCTGATTTGAATAATTTACAAAATTAGGCTGAGGTGTCCGAAACTCAACACATTTTAGACAGTTATACATGAGGGAAGGAGGGAGGGAGAGAGAGAGAGACAGAGAGACAGCAAGAGACAGAGACAGAGAGACAGAGACAGAGACTACACCTTTCAAGACATTCTTCAGAGGAATTTTTTATCAGGTAGCATCACATTAATAGATTCACAAAATAATGTGTATTAAAAATTGTGAACCTCTTTAATGCTCTTCTGCCCAATTACTTGGTGTGCACCTTTACATACTTCAAAATGGTTTCATCCAATTCAATCCATCCAATTCAATTAACACTCTGTATAATGTTTGCAATTATTTTGGTAACTGTGACAATCTAGTTTTTCTCATTATCTGTCCAGGCTTCTGTCACAGCAGTTCCAGATGAAAAAGAAGGAAACTGGTCCAGTGAAATGGGAATTAAGAACCATACAAACCATCAAGCAATACTAGGTGTAACGAATAATAAAATCATGACAGCACAGTTTGAATGTTATCAGAAAATTATGCAAACTACTGAAGAATATGAAGGTAAAACAATATATATCAACTTATTTTGATCTTGTTATTTTCCCTAAATAAAGCATTCTGTCTGTTAATTCATGCAAATATAATTTAAAAATGGTTTTTACCTACTAATACTGTGCTTATTGTATTTCTCTTGGAAATAACTTAATACTTGAAAGTATAAGAGCTTTCGATTCTGGTTTTCTTCCTGTCTAAAGGAGCAGATTTGATCTTTTAAAGTTCTTTACAAGAAAGCACTGGGAAGTCTTATATGTTCCAATAAATTTTTCAGTAAGGCATTCTAGGGTATTCTTATTTAGCGCTGTTTAATTTAACTGAATCGTGAGTTTATTTATTTTGAATGTGATAGTGCAACAACTATTTCGTTTGTTGGTTTATCTTTTGCATGTAACTGGCTTTGGGTTGTGTAAAGGAGTCAATACAATACAGATAAATTAATGAATAGAGATATTTGTTGAAAAATATTTTGCTGCTGAGATACAGTAGTTAAAGGCATACATTAATTTGATGGGCAGTGATGGGCAGTGGTACATAATTGTAACTTATCTGTTATGAATGAAAATCTTATTCAGCGTTGTAATAAACAGCAGCTTTATTTACACTGCAGAAGTAAAATTATTAATGTACAAACAAACCTTGAAAACCATTCTCATTGGTTTAGCAAAAGAAAGGGCTTTTTAAAATGGGGAGGAGGACTTTTTAGCAAATCAAAATATTTACATTAAGGGTTTATTTTTTGCAAAATGGGCAAGACATGAAGGCAAGCGTAACAGAATAATCGCTCCAACAGTTTGTAACTTTCCTTCTTATACTTCCTAAATTCCAAGAGAAGCATCCTAAACAAACCCATTTCAAGCAAGCAGAGAAGGAGGCCTTAAGCAGATGGAGAAGTGTGCAAGCGACCACAGCAACAATGGGCAGCAACAACTCTTTCTATCACCTCCCCAGAATAAAGTTCATCAGTATAAATCCCAAGACACTGGAGAAACAAAAGAAAAACACTGTAAAGAATTTCTTCTGCAAAGAATTTTTAAAAATGGAAAAATTCTGATAAAACATTTATTTCAGACAAATGTTTGTTTCAGACAAAAATATTTAGAAGCTTCCCTTCCCCCTCTCAGGATTAGCCTTGAATGTGAGTTTCCAATAAAAGTGATAGGTGTCCTAGTGATACCTGCAACTAAGAAACCTGCACAAGTGCAGAAGCTGAAACACTGATTTCAGCATGCAAAGAAAGTGTTCAGAAGTTGGGAGGGTGAGATGGATTTGCTTCCCTTCCCCTGCTTCAGTTGGTTTATTTTGTTTGGGGAAATTTATTGGAAAACAGTTGTGTTTCCAGGCAAGGTTCTTGCAAAATTGTAGAGTAACAGTTACAGGGTAAGAAAGCATGATCGTGAACAACATTGTTAAAACTTTTTTGTTTTTTTCTGCTCAAGTGCAGCATTTTTAATAGTCAAGATTTAGATGATGGTTTTAGAAGTCAAAATGGCAAACTTAGAAAGATGTAAACATCCAACAAGTTGTAAGTAAGAGCACAAAGCAAGAGCAATGGGTGGTATTTTTTCTCTTGGTAGAAAGGGGTTATACAACCAAGGCTGATATGGAAGCCTCTTTGGAAGCAAATACTGCATGTGTCAATCATAAGGAGTTTGGATTGGATCCAAATGTTTGCTTCTTTACAAGGAGAGGATTTTGTGTGTGTGTACAGAAAAAAATGTACCCAACCCTGGTAAATTAGGCTGAAATGCTTCAAATGATGCCTCTTCACTTTGTAGGTCCACATTGCAACAGAACATGGGATGGTTGGTTATGCTGGGATACTACTGCAGCAGGACAAACTGTAGAACAAAACTGTCCAGACTACTTTCAGGACTTTGACCCTTCAGGTAAGGATTAAGACGTACTGTATGTCTATTAGAGAAAGCCAGTAAAAATATTTTCGGAGCGCTGAGAATTTGGGTAGAATTATGTAAATTCAACATTATGACATCTTATTACTTCAAATGCATTTGGTATCATATGTCACATGTCAGGCCCGCACAAATTATAATGTGGCCCATTAAATGTCTGTCAAGCTCTGGAGAGAATAGTTCCAGGCAGGAAGCACAGATAGGAATTTAATCAGACTCCAGGATTGTTTTCATGCTTGGCTACTAGACTGTGCCCAGTGTGATACCGTGTTTCTCATAAAATAAGGCCAGGTGAGTGTGAAAGGGTCACCGCCACGGCACAGAAGGGCGGGGGGAAGCTGGAGCAAAGAAGGGCCGGGGAGAAGCTAAACTGTCCTTTCTATTGCTCTGGTGAGGACTGAATATTTGCAGGGGCTGGTTGGAAAGGCCTAATTTTGGTATGAACCTTGAGTCTTGGGGGGAGTTGAATGACGAAGGCACTCTGCACATGATCCGAGGCAGTCCTGCCACAGCTCACGGGTGGTGCTGCTAACAGTTTGGGGGAGTCTGAGAACTTCAGCGATGCCTCCTTTTCCCTCTCTCTCTCTCTCTCTCTCTCTCTCTCTCTGAATGCCTGAAAGAGCGCCCGTCATTAACCAATTAACCAACACCAGCCTCGGAATCCCCTATTTCGGCATAATTCGGGATGAGAGAGGAGCTGTAAAATCAGGAACTTGGTGACGAGGTGCAGGTTCTATTTTTTTTTTGATTGAGTTCAATCACGAGACATTTCTGGATTTCATCGGATGTCCGAGGCATTCAGAAGAACTTTTGAAAAACTTGCAGGTCTAACTTTGAGAAGCAATGAGTTCAGTCCTCTCAAATGGCGGAGGTTAGGGACAGTCTTTGGAGACCTCCCCTCTCCTTTAGCTGAGGGAGACCTGGGCGATTTTAGGCCAAAAGCTGCCCTGGAGAGACTGATCAGAGAATAGGCAGGAAAGCAAAACAAGAACACATTTGGGCTAAATCTCAGAATTTTTATCCAGACATAGATACACATGTGCTTTCTCTCCTGCCCTGCTGGTAGATTCAAAGATAACTAATGCATACTCCCCTCACCACAAGGCCGTTTCTATCAGCTGATGGAAGCTCCCCAAAGACAGAGTCACCAGCCACTTCTACCGGCCAATAGAAGCGGCTGGACTCTGACTTTGGGGAGCATCCATCGGCCGATAGAAATGGCCTCATGGCGAGGGGAGTGCGCACAAGCGCTTGCCCCGAGACCGCTTCTACCAGCCGATAGAAGCAGCTGGTGACTCTGCCTTTGGGGAGCTTCCATTGGCCGATAGAAATGGCCTCGTAGTGAAGGGAATGCGCATGGGCACTCGGCCCAAGGTCGCTTCTACCAGCCGATAGAAGCAGCTGGTGATTCTGCCTTCGGGGAGCTTCTATCAGCCAATGTTTTATCGGTAGTAGATCAGGGTATTCTAGCCTAGGCTACCTGCATGGCACTCCTAAAGGCAAGTTTTCTCCCCCCCATTCCCTCCCCCCCCCCATTTCTCTTCACCTCGTGTAGTTCTAATGAACAATGTGAGAAATGGTGGGGGAAACGCATGGTTTAAATAGGCCTAAATTTTGGGGGTGGGGCTTAATTTCACCTCATGCCTAGAAATCATGCTGGGCCTTCCTATTGGTGGAGGCCGTATTGTTGGAGAAACACGGTAGGTCATATGTTGTATATGCAAGAACAACATTATGGGTCTTCTTTATATTTTGAAGTATCAGATTTATGTTCCAGATGGACATTTGATCAAAGATGTTTCAAATAATTAGAAAAATCAAACTGTTCCAAATCTCTTGAAATAGTTTGGAATTTGCATGTGCAGAACAAGTATCCATAGATAGATTTGCAACTAGTTGCTTGTTGTCTCTCTTCATCTAAGTTCAGAGCTAGAGCACGAAGTCAGGCATTTAAGCAGGGTATTTCAAGCAATTGAGGAAGCTTATTAAGGAGAGCTTCTATTTCAGTTAAGAAGTTGCATTGATTATAATCCGTCATTTACAGTAATTATGTACATTTAAACCTGTTTAAATGCATATTTTATTGCTACAAAGTTAAAAATAGTAATTTATGGATTTAATGGAAGGAAGAGGAATGCAGATCAAAATAGGCAAGGAAGTGTTGAGAAAACATCTGGTTACATTGAATGAATTCAAGTGCTGGGGCTCACCCCAGGGTTGGTGTGATCTCTGAACTGCTGACTCAGTGGAGTGTAGAGTGAATGTCTGAAAACTGAAGAGCTATCAGTCTTACAAGTGTGTTTTTTTTAAAGGGGGGGGGACCCAGGAAGTGATGTCTAATCAATTTGACATCACTACCTGGAAAATCCTAGTCATCAAGTTATGGTTTAGCCAGCAAGTGTAAGATAAATTACTGAAGAAGGGTTAATTTGTTAAGCATTCCTGAGAATGTGTTTGGTAGAATTTTGATTGAAAGGGGGTACAGAAAGTGATAACAAGAAAAAAACAGAAGAATTTAGTAAGGCTTTCTGCCAATTGGTGGGCTAGATTAGATTTTTGCTGTTTAGGGGATTGTTGAAACAGCTGAAAATTGACAAAATATGTAATATATATTTCTTGCAAGACATAAATTGGCAGTATATAAAGGAATTGCTATATGGAAATAATATTTATGTAATTATTATGGAAGTAATAATTCAGTGAAGAGAAATATAAAAGTAAATTGAATGCAATGGGAATGTGAATGAGGCTCTTAAGAAATATGTATGGTAAATAAACATGGATTGAATACAAAAGTGAGTGACCAATCAGTAAAAAAAAATACATTGAAGGTCATATATAAAAAAAAATGCAGATCCAATTATCACATGCCATATTTGAGGTGGAAGAATGGAAATGGTTGTGGTTTGTTGGAATTTATGAGATTAAACTCTAAAGAACAAATGGTAATGTAATGTCTGAAGCATTGTCTCAAGCAAGATGGAAGCAAGGATGGTTTGCAAGCATAGGAAAGTATGGAATAAATACAGTTATTTAAATTAGTTTAAGCAATCTTTTCTTTTTCTTACTTTGTTCTTCAGATGTAATTGCCTTACTATTTATTATTCATTTTCTATGCTCTGCATAATGTTGCTTACACCAAAAGGGAATAATGGTGATGTGAGCATATGTACTGTATATGTGCATTTCAATGCTTTTTCCTGTTGCATTTATTGAAATGTTAACTCTTTTGGCACACAGAAATTATAATTCCACTTTTTTCTCCTTAATTTTTCTCCAAAAGAAAAAGTTCATAAGATCTGTGAAGAAAGTGGACACTGGTTTGTGCACCCTGAGAGTAACAGAATTTGGACAAACTATAGCCTTTGCACTCATCAAATATATTATAAATTGCAGGTAATTGCATTCTTGGGAGAATAAAGGATTTTAAAAGCCTAACAATTGTGAAATGTCCACTGTGTTAATTTCTTCTTGCTTGCCACTGCATTATATTTCAGTAAGGTTAATTAATTCACATTGCCATCCTAGAATAAGTTACCCTGGAAGAGGGCGCATTGAATTAAGCAGGGCCTATTTCTCTTAATGTTTATTAAGGTGTTATTTTATTAAATAAAATACAAAGAAGAGAAGGAAAAAATAGGAAATTAAGGGAAAGAAGAGGAAGCTATTGAATTACCGTGCAGTTGGTTTACAAATTGTATAAGACCGATTGATACAGTCCTTGACTTGACCCTAGAAACTTCATTCCAGAGGTGGGGGGCGGGGAAATAGCTTTGTTTGGGAAGGGCTAATAATGTGCAAGAAACCTGAGAACCTGTTCTATAAGAGCAAAAAATGGAGCAACAGTAGCAGCAGCAACAGTGGAAAAATACTGTTTCCATTTAGGACAAGCAATACACATCCTGTGTGACACCGTCCCACCCCCCAGGCACTTTGCTACCCATCCTATGGCTATATTTTTATTCTGGCCAATTAATCCTGTAGTGTTTTCAAGTACAGCAGAATCAAAGGCAGACAGCAGACCGATGCAGAGGTTCACCAGTCATGCAGCCTGGTTTGAAATCTGATCCTCTATTCAAGTTCTGCTCTGTTTTTTCGATGCATGAGAATCTGGGCAGCTAATCCTATGGACTTCCAGAAGTGACACCCAACCTGGAATCATTTCAAGAGCAAGCAAGGCTAATTTATCTGCCTCTTCTCTCTATGTGTGGATTATTCAGAGCTGCAATGACCAGATTTGACTGCTAGCTCGGTGGCTTTGGATCTGTCATGGGTGCTTTTTAAATTATACTCAACTTGATTGAGTCAAGGTCAAAAGATTTGAAAAGCACTGGAACTTATACAGTTATTCCCAGTAAGAGCTGAGGAGAAGTTTTATTTTGAAAAAAATATCCAAGATACAAAAGTGAAACCTGCAAACATGTATTAGTGATTTCTTTTTATGTCTATTGTCTTGAACTACACCCTATTTCCGTTTCAATTTATACTATGCACTATTCTACATACTATAGTCTACTACTACAATTTAATAATATATACTTACCTGTTCTTAATATGTTATATTTTACTATTTCTACTATAACTATACTATTACTATTGCTTCAATACTATTATTACTATGAAACAAGGTTTTAACTCCTAGAGACACTGGTCTATCTTTAAATCCTCTCTTCCATCCACTCCATTCCTCTCTCTCACTCTCTCTTTCTCTCTCTGACCGCCCCCCCACTGCCTTTCTCTCACACACACATACCCCTCTTCTATTGTGTGGTATACATTAGCTTGTGTGATATATTGGTGAAGGTGACAGACCAGGTGTGGCAAAATCCTTGCTTTCATCAAAATCAACCACAGTCCTTCTCAGCATAGCTTACCCCAGAGGAGGAGTTGTGAGAGTAAAATATGTGGAGCAATAACAGTAATGGTGTGTTAGCACATTTCTTTAGAGTTAGAATCTCCCCTATCCAAAAAAACCATGTTTGCCTAAATTTAATTGTGCCCTTCCTATGAACTCCCTATAATTCCTGGCACAAAAAGATTACCAGTCCTTTTGGCTGTGGAACATTAAACTCCTAACCTTGATGGGACAGCTACAATGAAACAGAAATATTTGATAGAGACAAGAGAAGTCAAGTTTGCTGTCTATCTCTTTGTTTCAGAAATATGTTCTGTTTTCCCTGCATATCTGATTGCCTTAATTGCATTTGTGCTAGTATTTGTTTATTTCCCCTCCTCCTGAAAACACGGTGGAAAATTCGTATTTGCCATGTCATCTGTAGTGTATAGATTTCCCTTCTTATGCTGTTTACAACCATACTACAATACACATGGCTTTCATAAAAACAGTTTGGAAGTATGCTCACTTGTAGAAAATGAACTCAATATGTATGTATATACTTAGTATATACTCAGAACGTATGCTCACTTGTAAAAAGAAATAGGGATGACATAGAAGAAATTAGTGCAGTCAAGTAAAATGTATAGAAAAATAAGTAAAATATTGTTAAGCTACAGCATAGGAGATCATGTTAGTATCGCTGTTGTGTTTAACAAAATAATGCTTGAAGTTTACGAGCATAGAAGTGCTCTTTGTTTTCAGAGAGACTGCACTACAAATAAGCAAGGCAGGATAATTGTTAAAAAAATCAGCTCTCATTAATATTTTAAAGAGTTAAGATCTGATATAATTTATCCCTTGATAACATTCTTTCTGATAATTCATGGTACCTATCAGGACAAAATCTCTCAAAATATTATACAATAAAATAAAGAGAAGTTCTAAGCTTGACATAAAACACATGCTTCGTTTTTAGGATAGAACAAAATGCTTGGCGCATTTGGATTTTTTTCTGTCAGTTCACAGCCAACTTGGTAGAACATTTTGAGCAGGATGGCTCCAAGCTCAGATTTTGTTTTCAGATTCTCAGTTCCTACAATAAAATACTTAAAATAAAGAACAGAATCACATTTTCTTTAAAAGAGTGGCAAAAGGAAGTCATTTTTTAAACAGTTTTTTAAAAGCCCCAGTGATCAGAAAATCAGAAGAAACAAAAGTTCCTATTTAAAACTCCCCAGAAATTCTTAGCAGAGGGACTTCAGAATGAGAGACCACCAGTGGAAATGGTCACCCTTGTCCTGCCAACTTGATCATCCTTAAAGAAAAAGGAGATAGATTTTGGAAGATAATCAAACTAGCCTCTAACTAGAATTTCAGAAATTGTTGTCACCAACCCTAGCCTACCTTGCCATTAATGAGATATGCTGAAATGTTTCTCAGGTATTAGATTTGATATTCTTGTTCTCGAGCAATTATTTTGCAATAATGTTTGGGCTAATATTTAGTAAACTATACTTAAGTGCTCATTCTTCTTTCTGCATTTTATTATAGACAGCTCTGAATCTGTACTATATCTCTATAATTGGCCATAGCCTTTCAATTGTTTCACTTCTCATTTCCCTTGGCATATTCTTCTATTTTAAGTAAGTATAATTTTCATTTCTAAATTGCATTTACTCCTATAGCATATCCAGTAGTCGTTACCTGTATGTAATTAATATGTTATCTCTGGCATTCTGAGTACTAATTTACAGCAAGAGTTGTTAAATTGTGTTCATATTGTCCTAACATTAAATTTTTGAAGTTACCTCACAGAAAACTGTTGGGATCATATGACTTCAAAGTCTGTACCTGATTTTATAGCAATTTTGAAAAAGGAGAAACATATGAAGCCACTGTTAACTGGGATAGGTATATAGAGACCAAACCTGCAAGTACAATATAGCTTATATAATACAATTTTTCTGGCAAGTTGTACGCCCAAATATGAATTTGTATACAGCCCATATGCATGACTGACTGTTAGTGGCAATTGATTTAAACTGCTGTGGTAAATGTCCTTCAAGATTTCAGAAATCAGGAGAAGGAATAATTAACCTACAAGAAATATACACTGTGTCACAAATCACTCTGACCTCTGTTTTGTTCTCTATATCAGGGGTCACCAAACTTTTGGACCTCAGGGACCACCAAACTCATAATTTTAAATCCCAGAGACCCTGGGAAAATCCCAAAAAAAGTCTGCAGGAAAATTCCCCACCCCAATTTCTTATCTATCAATCATTCTTTATTTGGGATTGCAGAATACCATCTTCAGTTCCATTCTCAGGGGGAGAGGCTTCATGCAAGGAAAGCAGCAGAAGCAGCAGAAGTCTTTCTTTCTCTCCCCCAAACTCTGTCAGAAATGAGTCTTGGTGAGACTTGTCACACCGGCACAGCTTCTTGGAGCAGGATGCCTTGCAGGGTCCAAAAGACTCATTTCTGGCAGAGTTTGGGGGAGAGAAAGAACGACTTTTGCTGTTTTCCTTGCATGCAGCCAAAAGCAGAAGAAAGAAGCAGAAAGAAGCAACCCGGTGGCCAGGCCTGGTGCGTGGGACAAGTGGAGCAAGTTCCCCCTCTGCCTTTCCCCCCCTCCCCTCACTACCTCGTCTTGTTTGCAATGCAAGTGCTGCAAGCCTTGTGTTCCCACAGACCATGTGGGCAATTGCTTTGGGAGGTGCTTTGGGGTGACATTTCTCTGTGGACCACCAAAATTTTCTCATGGACTACCAGTGGTCCCCGGCCCGCTGGTTGGCGACCACTGCTCTATATTATATAAACAATTTATTGCTATTCCAAAACTTGAAAAACTTCAGTGTAAAGCTCTTCTATCTCATCCAAGTAAAATTTTAGGAACTTTGGCTTACATCTAGAATACATCTTCTGCCTTAATTTTGTTTTTAAATGAATGCTGTTTATATACTTGCAATTGTTTCTTTAATGTACATTGATCATATTCAGAAAAATATGTAGTTATCTGTTAACATGCATCTCGTTAAATCATTCCTTCTTTGTGGGTGAAGAATCTCTGCTTTTGTTCTGTTCAAACCAGAAATCAATGGTGATCAGGTTCAAAATAAACCAGGATACTAAACAAATTTCAGAATATAGCGTAATATTTTCTTTTGTCTTGATACTGATCACTGTAGTTTTCTAATGTGGACAACTTTCCCAAATTAATGGCTTCCTGGAATAATTAGGTTACTATGGCCAATTTTTAACTCACAATGTAGAGTGAACATTTGTAGAATATTTTATCACACAAGACTTGGAGCAATGAGGGTAAGTTAATGAATTCAGTTCAGAGAGTCAGTTGGGTGACTGTGGGCTCTTTCTGGCTGGTTTAGAGGGTCAAATGTTCTTGAACTACAAAACAACTTTCCAGTTAGCAATTAAACTGCTAACAAGAAACTGTTGTGTGCAAAGGAAAAAAATAGCCACACATTTTCTGCCTCTCTAACCTAACTTTCTCTTGCTCATTTTCTTTCAGGAGCCTCAGTTGCCAAAGGATCACATTGCATAAGAATCTCTTTTTCTCTTTTGTTTGCAACTCTATTGTAACAATTATTATTCTGTCAGGAGCTGCCAACAGCCAAGCAGTGGCTGCAGATTACCCAGTAAGTGACTGCCACATTAATGTTTTTGCTGCTTCATAAAATACCTGGCAACATAATCTACTAAACTCAGGGGAATGTCATTCTATGTAAATATACATAGCTTGTTAATTAAGCAATTATAATAATCAGTGAAATAATATGAAAGAGGAGCAGTATTTATAGGAAATCTCATATGGTCCCCGAATATAATCCTGATTATTCTGTATTATATATTCATGGGTAATATATAGAAACCAGAAGGTCATGAGTTCTGGTCCCACATTAGAAACAGACCAACTGGGCAACCTTGGGCAGTCACTTTCTCATAGTCCTAGAAAGGAGGCAATGGCAAACCTCCTCTGAAAAAGCTTGCCAAGGAAACTGCAGGGACCCATCCAGGCAATCTCCAAGAATCAGGCACAATTGAACAGAAGAAAAAAATATCTTGATATTAATCTATACAGTAGCCTTCTGTCTTTCTTTCTCTCTCTTTGGGGTCCTTTCAACTGGATATGTCCATGTTATTTTTTTCGGCAATATTTTTCATAAATGGTTTGCCCTTGTTTTTTTTTTTTTTCTGGCTGAGAGACAGAAAGACCGAGAGTGGCTAAAAGTTACCCAGCTACCCTAGGCAGGACTAGTACTCACACTCTTCCGTTTTATAGCCAGGTGCCTTTAACCACCAAAATATCCTTAATCCCATTGATGAGAGTGGTAGAAATTGCTGCTAACTGTATCCATGAACATCCATACCTTATTAATTTCTGGATGGAAGTGGCTGCCTAGTGGCACCTGTAGACTCTCAACATAAGGAAATAAGTATCTTGTTATAGTGGTTTGAATGGAGCAGTCTTAGAAATTTGTTTTCTCTTTGTGCTTCCATTGTTGCTGGTCCAATACAAATTGAGTTGGTTTTATCCCCTGCATATTACAAAAATATATATAATTATATTGGTCTTTTCTCCCATAGGTTGGATGCAAAGTGGCACAATTCCTTCACTTTTACTTAACCGTTTGCAATTACTTCTGGATGCTCTGTGAAGGCATTTACTTGCACACTCTGATTGTGGTGGCTGTATTTGCAGAAAAGCAGCATTTACTTTGGTATTACCTCCTTGGATGGGGTAAGCTATTTTTCTTCTTCCCCTCCCCCTTCCTAAGTATGTTAATATCACTTTCTGGACCCACTCATACTGTAATTTTAATTCAAGGGGAATTTTAATTTATCCAAAGAAAACCCAGCAGCAATTTGTAACCTCTGTCACTTTCTTTATGCAACCAAGAGATTCTAAATATCATTTTACATTACCACGCCCCACACTAGAAATATATCATTTGTGGCTTTTAAGTGTGTATTACTGACTCACAAATCTTATCTTAGCTAAATGGGGAATGTGTTGGGCAGGAAATGACTTCTTTGATTTAGAAATGTAGTCTTGTATTAGGAAAGGGCATAAGGTCATGATTATTCATTGTTTCCCATCTTAGGAGTGTTTATACAGGCAACATTATTTGTTGAAAAAAAATATATTACCCATTCCTACACTGGGGGATAAGCCCACCATTTATTTTTCCAGGAGTTCCTTTGACCTCTTTTGTTCCCAGAGTAAAAAGAAGCCACACCTCTTGAATAACCTAAGCTTTTCCCCCCTTTAATGGGTCAATAGGCGTTGATTTGCTTTATTCTCTAATTAAATTCCAAAGGGGAGGAACCCTTTCTCACCCTAAATGTCTTGCATCATCTAAGTGCACCTCCTGCCCCAAAGCCCACAATTGTGTTTACGATTGTTTATTTGTTGCTAATGCATCTGTGGTCCATCACTTTGGCTGACTAAAGATGCTATTTCAAGTTCAGTTTTGCATCATAGGCTCTGAACTTGTGATGAATTCTAGCCTATGCCGTCTCTCACAATCATGTAAAGCCTCTTTCCAACTGAAAATGCATCTTTAGAAAAGCAGATGTGAGGATTAATCAGCAAATATTATAGGCATTTAGGAATGGTTTCTAGGTTTAGCCAAAATAATATGCAAATAATAGGAAAGGAATTATTTAGGTTCATGTAAGAGGTGATCTCTGCACTTGTGGTATTTTGAGGGAATAGAATAAGCTTCAGTACTTCATAGTCTATTCTCTCCTGGTCTCCTGTCAGGGAGAGAAAGACTAGAAATAATTTCTGGGGTTTGGAGAAGACTGGGTTTTTTTTCCTGATATTGGAACCTCCTAATAACCATCTTTGTTATGGGCAAAATTATGGTAATAAATACAGGCCTACCTTGTGCAGGATTATTATCACCATAAGCTTTTATTCTTTTATAATGAGTAATTTAGATTTGAGCCTACTGTTTAAATCAAGGGTGTTGGATGTTATGTAGCCTCTGGGATCAATTTTTATTCTTTCATAACACATGCTTATTTTAAGATTAACAATCCATTAAATGTGGATCTAACTGAGAGCTTTAATTTATGGAGACCCATGTACAGAGACATTTTAATGTCACTTTAATTAGATGAATCAAGGCTTAAATCAAGGTGGATTTATAGCTTTAAATGCCAGTGTTATAAAAATAAATTGTTCTATATTAAAACATATTTATTGCTAAGGTTGATTCTAATTCTCTATGGGTATCAACTCATTTCATTAATTAGTGGTAACTGTGGTTCAATAAATCAACCATGAATATGTGTGTTCGATTGTTTGTGTGTTAAACTTATAGTTATTTCTGCTATTGCAAAAATATCCAAATGCAGATTTATATAATTCCAAACCAGTTCTTAAAATTTCTTGATCATTTATAGAAAACATATCTGTAAGATCAGCCATCAGGTGAAATTTCTTTAGAAAATCAGCCTTCTCTTGTTTGTTTTGCTGTTTGTATTTTACCTTTTATGATAAAATAAAATAAATATACCTAAGCAGAAAATTAGCCTTCCCCCAAATTAGGTATCCTAATTTGTGTGGACATCATCTCCCAGAATATTCTTCAGTAACTATTTGCAGTGGAGAATTCCATACAACACATTTCTGTCGGTTGCTGCTCTAATTCAAATGAGACTTTGACAGCATTTGAAAGCAATGGTGGCTGCCTCCAAGAAACCATACCTGCTGTTTTCACCACTTTGCAATCCTAGTCTCATGATGCTGTTGTATAACAAGGTTAGCCAAGAGACTTTTTTTCCCCAATTTTTTTATTTTTATGTTTTACACATCTCTTCATGTGAGCAACGTGATTCCAGATTACAATATTTATACATAGTCATAGTTACACTTTCAACTTTCTTAATTAATATCACTTCAAATTATTATCCATTTGACTAATCTTTAGATAAATTTCCCTTTCATATTTCAATTCATTAATTCAGTATCAAAATCATTTCATCCTCACATATATTTTCAATTCTTTATCCTCTATTGTTTCCATTTTCAGCATATCACCTATTTTATGCTACCTTATGTGTTGTTAACATCTATAACTTTCTCAAGACCAATATATAATTAGACAGTCAATGAAAGAAAAAATGAGTAAAAGTAAAGTAAGATTAATACATTTAGGATCCACAAGGTATATCCCCACATCCACAATATGTCTTATATCTATTCCAGAGATATTCATATAATCTTATCATATTTTTTCTTTGTTTCCAAAATTAAATGGGTAAATGGACGGCTATCATTAGTTAGGAAGCTAGGTTTGATAGCCGTCCATTTACCCGGAGCCAAGCTGCACTAAAGGCCTCCAATAAAGTAACACAATGTTGCCAGCCAATCAAGAGACAAAAAGAGCCAAAAAACAGACAGGAGATATTAGAAACACCAATCAAGCAGAACACAGCAAACTCCAAGACCAATAAACACAGACCAAGACTCCCAACCAATCAGGGTGAAGAAAAAACCATTCTGGCACAGCAATAGGCTGCCCCAAATTTAAATCTGAAACCACTATAAAAGCCTGACTCACAGATGAACACTATACAGAAGCCTGATGATGGCAGATGAGATTCTGCTAAAACGTCGCTACAACTTTAAAAGCACAACTACAATGACGTGGGAAAATATCCGAACAAAGCTGAATGCCATACATGTAAGTACCCACGAAAACTTTATATATATATGATTAATAACAATAGAACCCTCTTAATATCACTCATTCCATCTTCATTTTTCTCATCTATAATTGTCTAATAATCTTAAGGTAATTCCCAGTAAGTTATAAACTTCAAATCTCCCCAGTCTACATTTCTAATAAAAAATACAAAGATACATTCCCATGTGGTGTCCCCCTTTTATGCTATATCTAACCCTTATCTCTAAATCTCTCGGCCTTGTCATTTCTCTTAGTTTTAGCCTGTTTTCCCTTTACTAAGTTTTCCTGGCATTTCCGGTGGCACTTCCATCAAGGATGGACGGAAACCGTGATCGTGCACGGCTTCAATCCATGCTTACCCTGTTGGGGGGATCTCTTCGGGACTGAACCATCAGACACACCTCGGATCAGTGGGAGAAAAGGGGGAGACTGCCAGCTGGGTTGAGGGGAGCCGCATCTCCCTTCCCTGGCTTGGTATACTCCCCTGGAAGACAGGGAGAAGTGGCAGTTTTAATGGCTGCCCTGAAGACAGGAAGCTACTGGGACCTAAGTGTGTGCTGGAGAGGTGAAGTGGTGAGCGGCAAGAGAAGCTGAACCTTTTGTTTTAATAACCCTGAAAAGCAGAAAGAAAGATTCCTCACTTGAGAGTACAACAGTGGCAAATAGAAAACAAGAGGACAATATAAGGTAAGTAAAAATCTGGACTACAAAAGAGCTGTAACGAAATTAAGGACAGAATTGGGAATAATATACAGAACCTGGCATTAATTATGCATTGGATAAAATGCTTAACTTGCTTGGAATTGATTATATGTTTTAAAAAAGCCAATGGTTGAAATGCTTGAAAATTAGCATTAATTTAATTAGAAAAAAGGGGAAAAAAAGAACTTTGAAAAGTGGAAGTGATATGGAGCACCACCTAATAGTACAAGCCATTTTTTTCTGGATAGCTTTTTGGAAAATTACTGGTCTGTTAAATGTGTGAATGAGAAAAGACATGAAATAAAAGACTTTAACATAACAAGAACCCTGGAAGCTTAAAAGAAAAAATTGGAGATTGCAGCAAGAGGACAAAGGAAGGCAATATCTTGGGGCTGTTGGGGGTTGACTGTGCAAAGGAAAGAGAAGGACCAATAAGGAAAAGAGATATAAATGGAGTCTCTTGGCAAGGATTACAATTAACTTTAATAAAATAAAGAATAACACAATTGATTAAAAAATGGAAGAAGCAAGCAAAGAATTTAAGTTGGAACTGCAAACTATGAAAGAAATGATAAAAGAAAGAAGGGGTCTATTGGACACACTGGCAGAAAAAGTATTGTAATTTATAGCAGAACAAAGGAATTCTAGAGAGGAGGAGCTAAAGGAAGAGGAAAACAGCCAAGATGGACATGAAGATTCAGAGACATTGCCAAAAGACACAAAAGGAACCAAAACTAAGACATTGATGACAGAGATCGTAAATAAAAGAGGAAAAAGCTCCCAAGAGTAAGCAGCAGAAGAAGAAGCTGTACAAGAAGAAATTTCAAAAAAGAGAAAAGGAAAGCGGGGGAGGAAAGATGGGGGACTGACAGATGGAAATAAATGTAATATTAGAGGAAAAAAGAGGGATAAAAAGGTTAGCCAAGAGACTTGAACAGTCAGGTAATAAGCTCCTGTACACACATCCTGGAATCTACTTTCTCCATGAGACTAGATTGATGAAGCCAGACAGAGTTGGAAAATATCAGAAATCTGAATTTAAAACTGTGTACTCCAAAATATTCTTGTGGACATTTTAATTATTTACTGGTTGAGTTGATTGCATCCAAAAGGACAACTAACAGATATGGAGCATAATTAAAATATGAATATAAATAATGCTAAAATGAGGAGGAGCAGGCGCCAAGAATGGTTTTGAATCCGCCTGACTGTAATTTTGGCTGACCTGAGTCAGAGCAAACTGGCTGACATCCAGCCTGAAGTGTGTGTGTGTATTCTGAGGTTCTTGCAGGTATTTGTATGTGGGTCTTTGGTTATTCGGGTTTTCTCCCGCGTAAAATTGGAAGTATCTAGGCAACGTTTCGATGAAGTCTCATTCATCATCTTCAGGCTTGACTTCGGCTCTGTGCTTCTCAGAGTAATGTGAGCTTGCAGCTGCTTCTTCCTTTTAACTGCTAGTGGGGGTGTGATTTGATTGGGTGGGGGCTTGGCTGTGTTCTGATTCCAAGCCTAGATACTTATGTGAGAAAACCCGAATAACCAAAGACAGACATACAGACACACACACATATATATATATATATATATATATATATATATATATGTATATGTATATATGTATATGTATATGTATATGTATATATATGTATGACTACTTCTTCTATGGGAATTTCTCTACTGGCAGTATTGCATCAAAAGTTGAGATGTTTTACTGATGCAATACTCAAAATTCCCTTGCCACATTAGTTGAGTAGCAAAACTTGGTCGCAAGCCACTTGTGCTTTCTCTTCTAACAAAATTGGCTTGAAAACAAGGGAAAAGATGTTTGTGGTCAACTTTCATGGGCTGGGTTCCAACAAAGCACTTAGAATGTTTGCCTGGCTGCATGAAATTAATGGCCTCCCTCTGAAAACTTGGAGAGTTTGTGTGCTTATGAATGGATTAAAGGTGAAATGGGCTTTAACATCTGGCCAAAATTATATCTTAATGGCAAAGTAACTAAAACAAGCTTATTTAGTCAACAGAGTTTTGTTAAATGTTAGAATTAGTTGCAAGAGCATTAGTTTCAGGAGCATTAACAAACAGCCTTTCATTCCTAAACAGAAATAGCCCTTTAGTTTTCTTAACAAAAGCCAAGCAAATGATTTCTAATCGGGCTCATGGAACAAAGTCAAATTATTACAATGCTGACCTGATGTTAAATTGTTTTTTTTTAAACAAAAATGGAAATTGTCCATATATAAAGAGCCCTGGATAACCATGCTTGGATAACAGCAAAAAAAGATGATGATGATATTGTGATAGATCTGTGCATACCCATGATACAGTTGGTTAAGGCACTTGGGGGACGAGTTGTGATAGGAGTTGGGGAGGTGTTAATTGCTCCTTGAGTGAGGGGATAGTCCCATCAGCTTTGAAAAAGATTGTGCCTCCTCAAGTGGCCATCACTTGACCCAACTATATCATTTTCATCCATTCTCCAATCTTCCCCTTTTAGAGAAGCTTCTAGAAAATATAATCGCACTGCAGCTTCAGAGGACTCTCAGAAAAAATAGATTATCTGGATCTCTTTTGGTTGGGATTTAGACCTGGGGGAGGTACTGAGATGGTTTTGTATTGTGCAACATCTCCTTCCTCCAGAGCTGGTTCCAATAGTTATTGAAAGGGGAGGGAGATCTACTACACACTCTCTACAATGTGGAGTATTGCAGGGCTCAGTTCTCTCTTCTTTCCTTTTTAGCATCTAATGTTAAACTTTCAATAGGTCATGCAAAGGTTGGGGATTATATCACCAGTATGCTGATGATATTCAGCATATATCTCTTCCAGGCCTTTTGAGTGACGTCATGGACATCCTGTCCAATTACTCAGAGGCTGTGGAGGCCTGGATGGGGTAGAATAGACTTTGGCTCAACTCAAGCAAAACTGAGCAGCTTTGGGTGTTTGGATCTCATAGTGCTGGGAATTTTTCATATTTGGTTCTGAATGAGGTGGCATTGCCTCAGACCTGGTGCACAATCTGGAGATCCTGCCAAACTCACAGTTCCTGCTTGAAGAGGAGGCCTACTCATGGGTTTGTCATGTCACCATGGCTTCCCATCAGGACTACTGCAATGAACTCTACATAGGGCTGCCCTTGAAGAACATTCAGAAGTTTCAGTTGGTGTGTAATGCAGTTAATAACACAGATTGTTTCATGCATTTTACACATTACTTTGTGAGCTGCCAGTGTGCTGCTAAGTGTTATTACCTTTAAAACCTTGGGCCAGGTTACTTAAAGGACCATACTTTTCTATATGTCCCATCTCTCCCAGCAGGATGGCATGCAATGGGTCCTGTCAGCTAAGAAACACAGGCTCACAGGATTCAGAAAATGAGCATTTTCTGCCATTGCATTTAGCTTTTGGCATATTCTTCCCCTGGAGATTAGGATGGCCCTGATCTTTCTGGGCTTTCCTAAAAACCAGGCTCTGTGCTCAGGCCTGAGACCCTAAGTATGTGACAGGACCTGTCTCCTGGCTACTTGGATGATTATTGGCTTTCCTGACTGCTATGTATTTTAATTTTTGCACATGTACTTGTTTCATTTTTATCATTGTCTACCACCCAGGTGGCCAATTCACAGTTTAAAATCGAACTGTATACTATACAACGTTGATCTTACTTTGAAAGTGTATAAAAGTAGTCTTATCTTCCCTTCATTTCTATTATATTTGTACAGGACAGTAGCCAGAAGATGCTACTGTAGAAATAACTGATAAGGAAATGCCCAAAATTCAGAAAAACAAAACCCACAAAAATTACTGTGTATAACTCCTTAAAGATTAGCAGATTTATTGTAATATATGTTTTGATAAAATACAGCCTGTATTGTCCCAAAGGTGCTTTTTCAAGAGGCAACTGGACTTTCTGGTTTTTCTTTGTAGATGTTTCGCTTCTCATCCAAGCATCTCATCTCTTCGGCTCTGGATGAGAAGCAAAACGTCTTCAAAGAAAAATCAGAAAGTCCAGTTGCCTCTTGAAAAAGCACCTTTGGGACAACCATGACCTGGATGACTGAGAATCTCCATAGACATATATACCTCATACTGCTAGTTGGTTCTATTTCTAGATCACTTTAAGCATCTGTTGAAATGGACACCACAGTAATGACCCTGTTTTGGTACCATGGCGGACAATGTGGTACAAAAGAAGCATTTCCAAGAATGATAGTTTGCCACCTTTGTCCCAGTGCCAGTAATTTCATCTACCTTTGAGTTGGCTCTAATGCTTGTATGGTAACAATGGAAAAGGAACATAAGAATCTGCAGCCATGTATGAGTGTTGGTTAAAAATTTCCCAATCCCTGAATCTTTTAACCTCAGAGATTAAAGGCTGAGCTTAAGATCTTCTGCTTCCAAAGTATATACTATTCCATTAAGGTTTGCATCTGAATCTCTAAATCAGGGCTGTCAAAGGCCTGGGGGCTGCGGGATGCTTAGATCTGGCCCACAAACCTGGAAACAGTGAAGGACTGGCCCTTCTGAGCTCCATTTTTGCTGGCAGAGGGTTGCAGAAGGCCATCGCAGTTGAAAACAGAACTTGGAAGTCCAGTTTTTCTGGCAGGGCACTTGGGCCACTACAGGTGTCCCTGACACGAGTGACATCGAGCTGGCCATGCCCACACTGGCCCCTCCCACTCTGGGGCCCCCGAGGTCAAACACAATCCTGATGCAGCCCTCAATGAAATCAAGTTTGACACCCCTGCTCTAAATGAATGCAGTATATGTGATTAAGGTGCTTTGGTGTGATCCCTGGGATTGGGAGGGAGGGAACATTCTGGGGAAGCAGAACAGCAATATGCTAATGTCATCCTGGGGACCTTGCTTTCCTTAAAAGATTAAGAGAACCTCCCTCATTCCCTACTTTTTTTCTTGACTTGTTTTTGATATAAAGTATAAAAACCTACCCGCTTTTTAAAATTTTCCTGCTGAAAACTTTACTTGTTGCTCAAATTTGGTTACACTGACTGTTGCTCTCCATGGGTATGCCAAATAGCTAGATATCCAGAATGAAGGAAACTGCATGATAGGATGCCTAAAACAAAGCCAGCCTTGTCAATGCTGAAGATACATAATGGTTAATATATTTGCAAAGGGTGGTTGAGTGACAACAGATGGAGTACTAGATTATATATTCATTTAATTATATTTTTACATGAGTGTTTTTAGTCAAAAGCAATTAGTCCCATAAGGGAAGGAGAACTGGGGCCTAGGCAATCGGAGATAGACCAAGGCTGTGAAACTCATGGCCTGCAGGCTGGATGCATCACACACTGGAAATGGCCACACCAAGTTTAGCGAAGGGGGGGAGGGGAGTTGTGATATGTCACCTGGCAACACTGTGATGATGCAAATTTGACATCCCTGAGATAGAGGAAGAAGGTACAAGACTGAGGATCTGAGGGTTCTTCCGTTGCAGATTGGAAGATTCTTCCATCACGCTGCCTTCTGCTGCCAGTCATTTGAAGCTCCCCTCTCTCTTAAGTGCCTGGTCTTCCATCTACTGGGAGAGAAGGGTGATATTTCCTAGTGTCCTTGTGAGAATGGCAGACTATACCACTCTTGCTTCTGCACTCCCTAAGTTAAAATGTCTCAGTAAGAAACCCATCATTTGCTCTTCACAGGCTTCCCGTTGATACCTTCCTGCGTACATGCTGTAGCCAGAAGCTTATATTTCGATGACTAGTAAGTCATTCCTGTCCTTGAAAACATTTTTAATTAAAAAAAAAGTCTCTTAGGAGAAAGAGGACAAAATTATTCTTCTTTAACTTTTGTTTTTGCTTTTGTTTTAATATTCTGCAGCTGCTGGATCAGTTCAGAGACTCATCTGCTGTACATCGTCCATGGTCCTATTTGTGTTGCTCTTTTGGTATGAACTTTTAAAGACAATCTCTCCTTTTTTAAAAAAAGAACTTCCTTGGTTTTATGTTTCCTCAATCTGTAAGGATTAATCTTTTATTTAAATAGAAGTAGGCTAAACAAAAAGTACATTGAACATGGTCACCTTACATTTGAGGGTAGAGATTTCGTGTGAAGTTGCGTGTGTCAGTGTTTGATGTCAGTGCTGTGAAGTCTTTTTCACTGGTTGGAATCAAAAGAGTTGAGTGTCTGTACTATTGGGCCCCTGGGACAGATTGACGTTAGCATGGAGCAGGATCAGTTGCTCCAGCAAGGGCTGTTTCCACCAGTCTCCCTTGCCTCCTGGCAGGTTGATTTGTTTATGCAATAGCAGCACTGCGGTGCTTAGGAGTTCTATGGTTACCATTTATATTCATGTTCAACAGACATTCAGGTTTTTTCCCCCCAGCCTTGCTTACAAAAACAAAGTGATGGGTGGGAACGACAAAAGTCTTGTTTTTAAGATGCCTTCAACTTCAGTTACAACTTCCATTGTAAGACTATCTCTCCAGTAGCCTGCAGCCTCCCTAGCTTTTCCAATTTTCATCCCCATGAAGGGAGCCTGAGAGAAGAGTCTTTTCAAAACAGGAAGCAGAATGGGGGAACTGCAGAATGATTGAGAACATGATAATAGAAAACAGTAGGAGCAGCACTACCAGCCTTAGCCATTGTAACACCATAACCTTCTAAATACTCACCCAAGTCATAGAAAAATGAAATATTTAAACAAAAACAAAAACCAGATCTCTGATGAAAAAGAAAACTTTGGAGAAATGGAAAAAGCGATCTTGGCACTGGACACTGCAGATACTAATAGCAAAGGTCTTGGCTGGAACTTGTTGAGGAGTGGCATTCACAAGAACTGTGCCAAAGTCCCATCAACAATTTTCTCACAAGCTTGAACAAGGAGTTCTCATCCTCCGTTCTAGCAACTACTTGTCCTCTGAAAAAGTTTGCCTGAAATCAGGACAGTCATCCAAGTGCTTTTTGTGACTTCTATCTTTCACATGTTTGGGAAACAAGCACTTTCCTAATCAGATCCCGGCCTCAGCTGTTGCTTGTGTTCATTAGGAAAGAGGCTGAAACTAAAACCACTTGTTGCATAATCACTGGTTTTAATACTGAATATTGGATGTCATTTTGATTTCCCATAGTATAAAAGCATCCAACCAATTATCATAAATGAGTAGCCATAGGTTGCATATATAAATTGATACAGCTGTATTCTTGAATGCTTCCTCTGATTCTGGTCACCCACTGAACAGTTATATTACAGTATTGCAAAAGGGTATGGAAAAGGGCAATGAACATCATTAAAGGATGTCAAGCATTGACAGATCTGCTTTCAAATGACTGGTAACACATGCACTGTAAGTTCCATTATAGTTAATGGAATTTGTTCCAGGATTGAAGGTTAAGAATCAATGTAAACAGGTATACTAATAGACCAAGGTTTCTGTTTTGTTTGCATCATTGGGATTTTCATGTAATGAAGATTCTTACGAAGTGGATGGTTTAGGGGAAATGTACCTATTCCACTACTGAGTAGTCATAAAGTCCTCATTCATCAGGAACCAAATTAGCCAACTTGTACCTTGCCATTTCCTCCCCAGGATGCTTTCTACAATCACAGTTTTCCTCTATTTTTTTCCCCGACAGACAACTTTATTTCCAAAGAAAACATTGGATTAACTGATGTTGGTGTAGAACCTGGCAAATATCAGAGGAATTGGAGTTTGAATGATTAAATAATTGGCCACAGCTTGGTGACCAATACTCACAGAAATGAATGATAATCACATATGAGGATATTGGCTGTTGCTGTTATGGTCTTTTGATGGTCTACTTCCTGGCTCCAGGAGAGAGCTCAAATCAATAGAAAATACAAAAGGCAAAGAGACTGGGACCATGCAGTTAATCCTATCCCAGTTTCTCTTCAGCCTCCACTGAATCTGAAAGTGGGAGTGACTGTATTTGCATTGGCTTGATGCAGTTAGTTATCAGAACAAACCAGCCTCCTTATTTTATTCTTGCACAGAAAGCTGCAGTCAGACTGTCAACACAAATAAAGCTGTCCTCCTCTACTGAATGCGTGGAGGCTGGAAAAAAGAGAAGCCTGGACTGTGTGCACAGTCATATTCCCAAATGAGATTAAGCTTTTCATGGCATTTATACAAACACCAGAATTGTCTTCTATTGTCTCCTAAGAGACAATAAGAGACAATTCTATTGTCCTATTGTCTCCTAAGACAAAAGAATTGAGATTCCATTACATCATAGGAGCCTCCTTCAGTCTAACTTTGAGAATTGGAATCGCTTTGGAAGATATAGGTTTCTTATTCTATTTTCCTGGAGTTTGTTGTTAAAATAGTTTCATGCTCCATCAGTAAGTCAAAAGGCTCAAATTCTGATGAAATTCATGTCTCTTAAGACTATTCCATATTTGGAGGGAACAGAGGGGAATTCTAGTTATAAAACGTCAAGAAAGAGCATGCTTCTCAAAATAGGTCCTTGCATCACTTATATAGAAGATAAAACTTATACTGTACAGATTTTGATGTGGGACCAAAAAGAGATGAAGAACCAGCCATCATCTCTGGGGGAAGCAACAGCATCACTGTGCTCAATAGCTGCCCTTATATAAAGTTCTGATGACCGATGCTTCATAGTGACCATCTTGATAGGCAAAATCAATGGGGAGCCATCATAACTACGATACATTGCTAAGTGTCTGAATTTTGATCACATGACCATGGGGATGCAGTAACTGAGAAAAACGATCATAAGTCACTTTTTCAGTGCTATTATAACTTTGAATGGTCACTAAATGAACCATTGTAAGTTGAGAACTACTTGTATGTGTGTGTGGATATTTTCCTTTGATTTTCTTCTTTAAATACAAAAAAAGGAAAGAATCGGGACAATTACTAACATCATATTAATACAGAATTTAAAAGCAGGAGGGACAGGAAAAATAGAGGAAATAGACCACATATGACAAGATCCAAAACAATTCCAAAATGTTTGACCAGTTTCCTTGAAAATATTGAGTGTGAAGATTTCCATTGTCCTATAGTTATTCTATGTAAGATGTAGAAAACTTTTAATTTGTTATGTCTTACTTCAAGGTAACATTCTTTCATGATAAACCATATAAAATGTATTAGGGCTAAGAATAATCTAATAAAGTAGCCTGTCAGTCTTATCAGAAAAATTGATTTTTGACAGGTCTGGACTGGTCTGGTCTATCTAGATATGTTTCAGAGCTCTTTTCTGAATTTTCATTATTTACTGATACAAAGTGACCAAAGCATTCACTAATTGCTATCTTGGAAAAATATAATAAAACAATGCAAATAATCTTTTATCCTCTTGTGAAATAAAAGAGTCTTTAAATAATATAGTATGGTTAATGCCAAATACATTGTAATGTGCTTTTTTAAACACTTGCATTTTTTACGTTTTTTCACAACGATTTGGACCTTCTATCCCTGTCATTTCAACTACTGTCTTCCCACCACAACTCAGATATTTTCACAGTTTCAATTTGAATGTGCAACATATAATCTGTTAAAGAAAATCATAATCATTCACAGAAGACTCCTCTTTCCCTTGCAGGTGAATCTCTTTTTCCTTTTGAACATTGTCCGTGTTCTAATCACAAAGTTAAAAGTCACCCATCAGGCGGAATCCAATCTCTACATGAAGGCAGTCAGAGCCACCCTCATACTGGTGCCCCTACTCGGCATTGAATTTATACTGGTCCCATGGGTGCCCCAAGGTCGTGTGGCTTTAGAGATTTTCAACTATGTGACGCATATCCTGATGCACTATCAGGTATCAAGGGTCCAGAAGTTTTTTGGGAGTTTATAGCAACCTGTACAAAATGATCCCTTCGGGATCAGTTTTTCTAAAGATATGAAAGGGAATAAAAGTTTTTTTTTGTAGCCTGGTCTTTTACAATCATGCATAAGTTCCTTCTAAACTTTGTAGTTAACTGCTCTGTCAGATCTCCTAAGATCTGTTTTCTTAGCCAGATGAGAAAGAGAAGAACAATTTTCAGATTAGAATAAATGACATCAAAGCTGCAGCCACCAGAGAACTAGTGCATGAAAGGTATTATTTTGGGGGGAGATGTTTTAGAATCCCCTTGTTTTAGTCCTATTTAAGTTGGTATAACTAGGTTGGATCAATAAAGATTAAATCAAATGATATTTATAACCTGTAAACTGCACTGTCTTCCAGCTGCCTGTCACTCTTTCAAGAAATATTCTTGATAATTAACATTCCTCTGGAGTGGCATGAGTTGCAGTTCAGGAAATCTGCTAAAAGCATAGCCATGGAATGACTTCAGAGAGTATACCTGCTTTCAGTTATAATATTCATTTATCAAATACAAACATATGTAAGATGAGTAATAATTTCTTGTTTTACCCTGCAGGGTTTGCTGGTGGCAACAATCTTCTGTTTTTTTAATGGAGAGGTATAGTAATTCATTTATATATATCTCTTTTGTGAATGAGTTGGATTGCTGGTTTGACACCTAGCAGTGTTTGAGGTTTTAAAAGTAACTAGAGCTAATAATAGTAAAGAAAAAGCTTTTAGGATGGTTCCAGATCAAGCTTAAATCATTCTGCGTCTTTCATGGAATTTTCAAAAGATTGTCTTCCATAATCTATTAACTATCTTTTCCTCCCACTGCTGCTTTAGTCATTTTCACACATAAAATGCTCAAAGAGAATGCACTATACCAGAGGTTTCAAACTCACCATGTCACGTTGCCGTCACATGACGTTTTGTGACATTTTTCCCATTTGCGAAGCTGGGGTGAGTGTGGTGTATCTGGCCCGCGGCCCACGGGTTTGGCACTCCTGCACTGTACCTTTCAATAAGTCACACTGAATTTTCTGCCTGGAATAATTTCTTATCTGTAGCTGAAAAGGGAAACAACATCTTTCTAAAATATAAGCACCAAATATAATAAATAAATTTCTTGAAGTAAAAACAAAATAAATAAATAAATTTAAGCCAGAATTATCCATGAAGCCTAAACGTGGCTGATTTTGCAGTTATATTTTGATAGTTTCAAATTACAAGACCCTTACAACATTTTGATTAATTTTCAAAGAATAAAACTATGATTCATGACAGAAAATTGTTGTTCCCCAAATAATTATCATGAATGGGAAACACTCATCAGGAGCTGATGATTTTGAGCTACAAGTTTGTTCCCTTCAACATCGCTTAATCTTTAACAGAGCAGACCTGCAGTCTTTCTCTTCTGCTATAAACTGTTCTTAGAAGCGATGAATTCCATTCACATTTCATCAAGGCCTCTAGTAAATCAAACTTCCTGTTGCACAGGTGGCTTACCACATTGTTTGAACGGAAACTATTGTAAAACAGAACATCCTTCCAAAGAAATGGGTAAACAAATCCAGACCTTATGTGGCTTCATTTGTATTAGCCAACATATTTTTAACCAAGGTGAATTCTATTCAGGAAACAGTTTTTCCACCAGCTTGATGGAAATATAAATCAGATTTATCAACTGAAAAATCCTGCAGGATTAAGCCAAAAAAAATACACTGTCTCACATGCTGCTGAGCATCTAAAATTGATCAGTAGTGTTACAGAAAATGTATTACATACATATGTAATCTCTATCCTTACAGTTGCTTAGAGAGAGAGATGTGGATTTTCAAACAACCAGAGATTTTCCCTCACAGGCCAACAATTTCAGGGCTAATAAATAATCTATGCTTTAAATAAATATAATAATTATATTAGATCAAGTGGTCCATATTCCATAAAAGCTTCTTCTATAATGCATGTGTTAATCTTTTTTGTGCTATCTGAAGATTCTTTGCTGTTCTTGTAACAGATTAAAACAGCTACTATTTTGGAAAATATTTTGTAACATTTTGCTTTTATTCAAAAAGACAGTCATTGCATACACATTTCTGTGTCTTTAAGCACCTAAATCAAAGGTGTATATTTGGGGGGCATAAAGTTCTTAAGGAAAGTAACCCGCATCACAGAATTCAGGTCTCAGTGCAGTAGAAATGGAAAGTGGAAATATAAATATAAATCAGTATTTAATAGTTATTAATGCTATTTTTAAAAACCACAATTTGTATAGCATTAAATTACTCAAATGAACCATCTAAAAAGCGTGGTTATTGTATATGTTTTTCCCCTTATACTTTGACTTTTTGAAATATCTTTTCTTGTCTTTATATACCTTAGTTGCTCAGTGCTCAGTGTTTTTCCTTCTACAGGTGAAACTCGAAAAATTAGAATAACATGCAAAAGATATAGATTCATTGCATGCAAAGCAAGATAGTTCAAGCCGTGATGTGTCATAATTGAGATGATTATGGCTTACAGCTCATGAAAACCCCATTAGAATACCCTAATTAGAATTAGATATTCTAATTTTTCAAGTTTCACCTGTATGTCACTGGAAAGGAGCAAAAAGCTCAATAGACTTGCATTTTGACCAATGATATGCAATTGTTGATTCAGAGTAGAAGAGAAAGAAAATAAGTCCCAGTTTTTTCCCTCTTTAACTTCTATTAGTTATTTTTTTCTTTTTTTCTAAAATAGGTCCAGTCCGTACTACGAAGGCACTGGAATCAGTATATGATCCAGTTTGAACATAGTTTTGCCCACTCCGATGGTCTCCGGTCAACTTCTTATACGGTGTCTTCCTCCTTCACTGATGGCCAAAGCTTCAGTGTTAACCATGACTGCCCCAGTGAACATTTAAATGGAAAAAGCTTTAACGAGATGGAAAATGTTGCTTTTAAACCTGAAAAGCTGTATGAGTGATTACAGAAGACTGTCAGTTCTCACCAATATGTTATTTCAAATAGATGGCTCCCTGAGCAGCAGTGACTTTTGGGAGGAATGGTTGTTCTTGAAGAATATAATGAGTTTCAATTTGTTTATTGTGTCCACATGCATTAGCATATCTTCGCATGTGAATGCTTGTATGTTGGAGCTGGTGACACCCAAACACTGGAATGTTAAGCTTCAATCTCTTGATTTAAAACATTCAGAAAGATGCTGGTTGAGATTTTAATGGGATCAATCATGCCCTAGTTAGATCTGTACTTGTATATATGTTTTCTGCATATGAATATATCTGGAGATAGATAAACTTTGCCTCTTCAACTTCTACTGTGTAGACAAATTGGGCAATTTATTTTGTATGAAAGGAATCAAAGAAAGTTCTGTATTTTTTCAGCAGTTTGTATCATGACTGGGCTGTCATTTTGCAGCCATTATGTTGCTTCAAAACTTGTACATACGGTATTTATCACATTCTGTTGTCTTAAGTGCAACCAACAAACAATCTTGAAAGGAAAAAAAATCACTAAATGCAAAGCATTTTTTGGATTGACTGCAACTTCTATGTCTGACAAAGATGGATACAAACCAATCTGCAATATTCTAAATAAAGTGGATTCAAATTTACTAGAAATATGAGGGCCAACATTTTCAAATATGCCTCTTCCCTTCAGTTCCTGTAAGCAATTGAAAAGAATATAGTCATCCCATCAATATCTGGTAGGCATACGAACTGTTATGACAAGGTGGATTTTCTCTGCATCTCTGGGCTTCATTGTGGCAGTGTTGGCGGTTGGTTTGTATTCAGTAAAGAAATTAAGCGCCAAGTTTTGGTTTTTTTTTTTTAAGTATGCCAATTTGCAAATAGGCTTCTCTAATTAGGCAGATGCTTTAATAAGAACAAGAGAAGACAGTGCAACAGCTTTTAGGGAGCAGAGAGGAATGATGAGGCTCATACCCTAATTTATTTATTTTTCCTGAATGGGAAACTTTCCTGAATGGGAAATCATTATTAGAAGATGGTGTCTAGTAACAGACGTAGCCTTTCCCACAGGGGCTCTATGATCCCCACAGCGAGAATGTTGAACACTTATAGACAACATTGGTCCCTCTATAACCTTCACAGATGCAGAGACATTCTCACTCAACATCCTAGCTAGAAATGAGTTGTTCCTACTGGGGTGAGCAACGACCAAATGTTGATGATCTAATCATACCAGGCATCCCAATTCAGACACTTAAGATAGGTAATCTTTCAAACATACAGATGTTGGCCAAGCGCAAGTAGGATTGTCTAGACCTCGACCTTTTTTTTTTAAGAGCTAATGAGAAAAGTGCAGTTCTTTCTTTCCATTGATGACTGGAGGGAAGGGAAAGAAGGGCAAACTGTTTGCCCTTTTACAGTGCTCTGTATAGTCTCCAAATCTACTCTGGGTAGTTGGGGAGCCAGTTCGTGAGGAGTTGACAAAGTGAAATTAGCAAAAAAATATATTGTGCGGGCAGATTTCCAGTGGGAGTCCTTTGATTTGTGTGTGGTGTGTGTGTGTGTGTGTGTGTGTGCTTGCCTCACTTTGTTCATTTGTAGAAAATGGATGAAATGGCCCATGAGGCCATCCTATTGGATCTTGTAGACAATCCTTAAGAGGCTACAGTTAGCACTTTACATCGATTCTTATCCGCAAACATGAAAGCCACATGGAAGTCATTGGGATTTGAGGCCATCTTAGCTGTTTGCAAGATTGTAGCTGTAGCCTTCTGAAGTGAAGTCTCTTCTGGTTTGCATAGGAGAACTGGTTTAACTTTGTGTTGCTTGGGGTTACTGGGTTTTATTCTTCTGCCTTTACATACACTCAGAAGTGATTTACCAAATGAATAAAACTGATAAACTGATAAAACTGTATTTTTAACTGATCCAGAACTGTGCAAGGTATGAATAAGATAAATGTCTTTCAAGGAAGTTTGATAAAAACTTTATGCTGTGCCTTTGTGAAACATTCTTTAAAAAAAAAAGAACCATAAATCTTGTATACTGAATAGCACAATAAAGATGCAGGATCACAACAAAGTTAGGTGAAATAAACCTTTCAAAACTCATAAAAATATCTTGACTGTAATTTAATTTGAAAGCACAAGAATTGTCAAGTTGCTGCTGTTGATCAAGCATCCTCATACTGAAATTCTTCTGTTGCCTGAAATTAATAAGTCAAATGTCCAATGCAGCTTCATCTTCAGCAGAATCTTCCTCCAAGTATTGTGAAGCATGTGGATCTCCTCTTTTCTCAGAGTTACTGTATTTTTTGCATTATAAGATGCACCTGACTGTAAGATGCAGCTAGCTTTAGAGGAGGAAACAAAAGAAAAATCAGGCAGAGCCTGAGGGGACCACAGATACATGTCCTCTGATGTGCCAGCTCTGCCTATTGACTCCTGCACTGTGGAAAAGAGACAGAAGAGATGAACAATGACAAAGATAGGAAGAGGCAGGGTTCAGCACTGCAAAAGGATCCCACCGCCACGGCCCAGCTGCTATTCATCAAAGGACCAGCACTGATGCACAGACATTTCCATCCACCTTTTTTGGGGGGGGAGGGGGAGAGTGCATCTTATGGAGCAAAAAATACGGTACACACTAATTGTCATTTTGCAACCAGTCAGCAGCTATTTGGTTAATATTTGAGATTAAGAACTAACTGCTTTATCTGGGTTTACCTCCAACTAAGGCTATACTCGAGGCATGTGGTGGCTCAATGGCTAAGATGCTGAGCTTGTCAATAAGAAGGTTGGCAATTCAGCGGTTTGAATCCCCAGCGCCGCATAACAGAGTGAGCTCCTGTTACTTGTCCCAGCTTCTGCCAACCTAGCAGTTTGAAAGCACATAACAATACAAGTAGAAAAATAGAGACCACTTTGGTGGGAATGTAACAGCGCTCTATGTGCCTTCGGCATTTAGTCATGCTGGCCACATGACCACGGTGACGTCTACGGACAGCACTGTCTTCGGCGCTATGGACAGTCTTCAGCTTAGAAACGGAGATGAACACCACCTCCTAGAGCTAAACACAACTCTCACGCATGTGCAAGAGAATCTTTACCTTAAGGCTATAATGTCGCTGATTTCATTTCAAGCTAGCTTCCTCTGTCAACCTAGACATCAAAGAGTTCTTCTTTAACCATATGGATGAATCAGGCTATTGAGGCATGTTCTCAAATGGACATATAAAGCCAACCACATGGGGAGAGGGGGGGAACAATGACTTTATTATCAATAATCCTATGGTCAAATTTAGGTGACAGTTGGTAAACACTTATATTTTACTTTTTCATTGCATGGGCAGTGGACTATTTATTTGGGTATTATAATTGCTGATGATGGGATATATTTAAGATCCTTAAAATTTCAGGCACATCTCTTTGTTTTGAAAAACATGACTGCAATCAAGATTGGGTCCAGGCTATGATTATTTTTAAAAAAATCTACAAAAATTATTTTCTTAAGAAAGTATCTCAATGAAAAAAAAATATTGTTAAGCTTTTATCCTTGAAACCAAAGCTAAGTGGATTTCAGAAACAAAACAAAACAGAATGGAATCCAACAACAACTGCAATCAGCTTCCACTGAAAGATTGTTAAACATCCACTTAGCCTTCAGCCCAAGGCCAAGAAGAACTTAACAGGTAATATAAATAAGACAAATGAAGAAAACTTCCAAAACAGAATGCAGGTCAGAGAAATCATATTTTCAAAAAATGGATTTGGTCTTCTCATGTTATTTTCACAATGCAAGTTCAATGTGCCGACATCTGGAATCACATCTGGATCCAACCTGCACAACAAAATGTGTTATTTTGATTCACATACATGTTTCTTCCATCTGCTTTAACTGTTGCATCATGGAAAGCCAAGTGCTCATGTTCCAGCTTTTCCTCTTTTTTTTTTTTTTTTGGTCATGGGTACGCTAACTTCATGTCTATGAAGTAGGAGAAGATGACTTCTGAGAAGTTGTAATCTTCTAGGATATCATCTTTCCTACAGATTACAATGTGTAGCATCATTTTGGTTGGCACAAATCTGAAGACAATTCAGAACAGATTTACCACAGCTTAAAATCACTTACTAAGACTCTTTATTTATTTTAAATTAATGAGCAAGGCACTGCTTTGAGAAAATAATTTGGAACACCCTTAATACTTTATTGCTGTACTGTCACAAGTCTGAAAACATTACATTTGAATGGAAACAAGATGGTGAAAATGTTTTCTCAGATAGCTTATGTGCCAGCAAAAAGATGCTGGACAAAGAAAAAATTTGAATAAACCAACCCTTTAATTATTTGAACCCAGCATAAGTAGTTGTTGTGCACTTGATGCAAATAATAAATACTATGAATGGTGTATTATTTTATACATATTACTACAAAAGACAACTCTTGAAACAATGGCATTTCAGACTACAGTTGAAAGTTCTTTTAAGAATTTGTCATTGAAAACATGCAAGAGAATGAGGCAGAAAGGCACTCATTTTAATTTTAGTATCTAATTAAAAATAATTCTTAATATTGCATGATTTTACTTCAAATTGATGAACTTTTTTTTGAAAATGAGACCAGTTTATGAAATGTCAAAAAGCACTATTTCCTCAGGATTCCTAGAATAAGAATAATAGAGTTGGAAGGGAACTTGGAGGTCTTCTAGGCAACCTCCTGCTAAGGCAGGAACCCTTACACCACTTCAGACAAATGCTTGTCCAGTCTCTTCTTAAAAACTCCCAGTGTTGGAGAATTCACAATTTCTGGAGGCAAGTCATTCCATTAATCAATTATTCTGTCAGGAAATTTATTCTTAGTTCTAGTTCTAGGATTCCATCTATTGCTTCTTGTCCTGCCTTCAGGGGCTTTGGAGAATAGGCTGACTCCCTCTTCTTTGTGGCAGGTCCTCAGATAGTGGAACACTGCTATCATGTCACCCCTAGTCCTTCTTTTCATTAAACTAGACATACCCAATTCCAGCAACTGTACTTTATATCATTCAGTCCCCTGATCATCTTTGTTGCTCTTCTCTGTACTCTTTCTAGAGTCTCAATATCTGGGTGATTGTTGGTCTCTCAGTTTTACTATCATCAGCAGCAGTTATCAATGTGATTCATTTTCATCTTAAGAATGTTGCAATTCAAACAATATTCCATGTTGAAAAAAGTTGAAGAGCCAGGATAATATGTATGGGTTGGATCCAAAGAAATGCAGTTGAAAGGAATTGGGTGATGATTTAATGTGTCTTCTTCCTTGCATTGCAGCTGCATTGCCAAATTATTCTTAAACATTGAAGGCTGTTTATGAATACAGTAGGCTGTGGTAGAAATGACTGACAGAAATAGAGGGGATTGCTGAAATGTAGGGAGATGACATTTCTCATGAATGGGATTTCCTCTCCCCAATTTTAGGCAATATCCCTCATTTGTCTACCAATTATTTATGCTTCAAGACAGT